CAGATAAGAGATACGGAAAGCACCAATAGATACACATTAATAAAAATCATACATGAGGCTGGGCATAGAAGCTCACACCTATAATCCCAGCACTTTGGGAGGGCAAGGTGGGCAGATCACTTGAGGTCAGGAGTTCAAGACCAAACTGGCCAACATGGTAAAATCCCATCTCTACTAATAATGCAAAAACTAGCCAGGCATGGTAGCACATGTCTGTAATCCCAGCTACTCTGGAGGCTGAGGCAGAGAATCATTTGAACCTGGGAGGCGGGGGGTGCAGGGAGCCTAGATCACGCCACTGTACTCCAGCCTGGATGATGGAGCAAGACTCCGTTTCAACAAAAGAAAAAAAAATTATAAGTGAAGTTTATGAGCAAAATGGCGCTGCTTTGCACTGAGAAATAACAACTCTAAGTCAAAGAGAACAGATGAGATGGAGATTCAGGGGACCTGGCAGGAGTATCAAGGTCCCTTGTCCATAAACTTCCTGCCCACATTGCCCAGGGAAAGGCAATACCAGTCTGTGTCAGCCAGGGAGAGGCCTGCCAGCCAAGGCAGTGGCCCTGGGCTATGGCTGGTCACAGTCAAGGTTCAACCACTCTTACGGACAGGTGATTAAATAGTTAGGCCCTAACATAAGACTGGTAGATGAGGGGGCCTGAGCTTGAGACAGACAGCCCACAGGACAAATCAACAGTGCCCACATCTGGCCATCTGCGGAAACGCTGACAAAGGCCTGAGTCAATACTTTTTATTCCTGAGAGCTTAGGTCTTTTGGAATCCCTAGTTCAGGTCTTGTAGGACAGGATCTGGATCTCCTGGGACAGAGAAAACAATATCTGTATTTGGTAGTAATGACTCAGAGCAGGTTCTAAGAGTGGGGGCCACCAAGGTTTGGAGCAGTGAAGGGACTTAGATGCCCATATTTCTAGGGTTTTCGAATATTTGTGGCCACTTATGAAACTATCACTTCCAACAGCTATTCTTTAAATAGCAATGTTCAAATAGAAGCAGAGACTGAGCACCAAAGGGCAAGTGTACAGAAGACATGCCATAAAGACAGCTTTCCCTGGCAGTTCGGTTTGCATGCCTCACTCAGTACAACTAAGCTCAGAAGTTAGATAGGCTCCTGCCCCTTAGAGGGCATGCACTTCAGGCAGGGATGGGGTCTCAGTCTCCCCACTCTGAGCAGCTTATTCAAGTCTTCATTCCAGCCTTGTGCCACACCATCCCCTCCCTGAGAGGTATTCTGGAAACAATGATTTCCCCATCTTGTTGCATACCTGGTGCCATTTTAGCATTCTTCAAGGACTGGGACCCCATCGCACCCACCCAGCCAGACTTATCCCAGAATCCTGCCCTGGCAAAGCACTCTTTTTAGACTGAAGAAGAGTAGGTCAGTCTGTTTCCCATCAGTGTCCTATATCTTTGTTTGCTTCCGTAACAAGAATGCAGGACCCTGAGGGCAGGAATCCACTTTCTCCTCATTTTGCACGTCCACACAGGTCTCTGACTTCTGCAAATGTCAATACATAAGCCCTCATACTCAAAAGACAAATGTTTTAGTAAGAGGGAGTCTTGCTCTGTCATCCAGTTGCAGTGCAGTGGTGCAATCATGGCTCACTGCAGCTTCAACCGCATGGACTCAAGCGATCCTTCTGCGTCAGCCTCCTGAGTATCTGAGATTACAGGTATTAGCCACCATGTTCGGCTAATTTTTAACAATTTTCTTGTAGAGACAGTGTCTCACTATATTGTCCAGGCTGGTCTTGAACTCCTGGACTCAAGCAATTTTTCCACCTTGGCCTCCCAAAATGCTAGGATTACAGGCATGAGCCACAGCACCCAATAGAAAGACACATATTGAGTAAAACTCAGACTGTAGAAAACCTTGATGTGTAATAGGTGAAATCACAAATCATCAGATCGATAAACTTGACTGCATACAGTGTTTTCAAAATCCATACACACATATCATCTTATAGATGAGGATGCAAAGCTTAGAAAAGCTGAGCAATTTGAACAAGGACACATACATTCCTCGGCCTGAAAGAAGCTGAACTGGAAATCAAACCCAGGAATGTCCAGTGTAAAAGCTTGAGGGCCTGAGGATTGCCTCTTTTTGTGTCATGCCTATACTGGATGTTAGAACGTGTGAATTACACACACACACACACACACACACACGTATGTGTATATATACAAGAATATATATTTTTAAATACACATATAAATTTATAAGGAAAGCACAAGGAAGAAAAAAAAACATTGGTAAAAGAGGAAATGTACGACAATAACCAAATGTGCACTCTCCCTGGTGATAAAAACGCAAATGAAAATTGAATATGGCACCAAGTTTTGCTTATTAAATGAGCAGAAAAAAAGACAATAGCTATGACAGATAGAGTGAAACTAGCACCCTTAGATATTGGGAGCACTGAGAATATGCCCTGTCGTTAGGAAATCATCCTGGTTCTACATATCAAACGTTTTTCCTCCTGTTGTTTAATGCCTTTTTCAGGCATTCAGCAGGTATTACTGAGAATCTGTCATGTGCCAGCCATTGAATCAGGTACCACTGGAGTAAGCAGGCAGAAGTGTGGGTCCTCACCCCAAGGGCAGCCATGCTAGCTCTGGTATGACCAACTAGGGGCTTGTAGATGAGAGAGGAATAAACCTCTTCCTTGTCTAGGCCACTGTTTTCTTGGGTTTTTCTCTTTTACTTGCAGCCAAACTGAATCCTACTTATACAGAAGGTAAGTAAGCTTTCACCAGCTGCTCTGGTTTCTTTTTTCTTTTCTTTTTTTCTTTTTGAGACAGAGTCTCACTCTGTTGCCCAGGCTGGAGTGCAGTGGCACAATCTCGGCTCACTGCAACCACCACCTCCCAAATTCAAGTGATTCTCCTGCTTCAGCCTCCCAAATAGCTGGGACTACAGGCACACGCCACCATACCTGGCTAATTTTTGTATTTTCTTTTTAGTAGAGATGGGTTTTTACCATGATGGCCAGGCTGGTATAGAACTGCTGACCTCAGGTCATCCACCCGCCACAGTCTCTCAAAATGCTGGAATTACAGGTGTGAGCCACCATGCCCCAGCCCTGCTGTCTGGTTTCTCAATGGAGTACAGGCAAGATCACCAAAACACGGCGAGAATGTGGGAGGGAATGGAGGCTTGAGTGGAAAAGGCAGGAAATTATCACTGCAGAAAAGGAAAGAGTGATCTTATTAGAGAAACATTGTAAAATGGCTGGGCAATGATGAGTTCTGTCTTGAGTTTCCAGAAATAGATACTTGAAGAATTCAGTTTTTTTGTTTGTTTGTTTGTTTGTTTTTTTTTGAGATGGAGTCTCACTCTTGTTGCCCAGGCTGGAGTGCAGTGGCACAATCTCGGCTCACTGCAACCTCCGCCTCCCAGGTTCAAGCGATTCTCATGCCTTAGCCTCCTGAGTAGCTGGGATTAGAGGCATCCACCAACCATGCCCAGCTAATTTTTGTATTTTTAGTAGAGACAGGATTTCACTATGTTGGCCAGGCTAGTCTCAAACTCCTGACCTCAGGTGATCCACCTGCCTTGGCCTCCCAAAGTGCTGGGATTACAGGTGTGAGCCACCACACCTGGCCATTTAATGCATTTTTTTATGTATTTATTTTTTAAAATCTTACCAATGAATTCATGTCACATGTTTATGTATTATAATAGAATTTTTTATTTTCTTTAACAGACAAGTCCTATGGCTCTCTTATTAAATGTTCAAGATAAACAAGATAAAAGGTTTTTGACAATTATTTTAAAGCCAGCTCCCTCCAGCTGCTCTAGGAAGAATGTATGGGAGAGAGGGTAATTGTTCATGACTCTATCTTGCCTTTTGTACCAGGCAAGACAATAGGAAGTAGCCCTCCTGGTGTGTTTCTAGGGACCAGATTGTCAAAGTAAATTTGGCCTAAAGCTGCCTCCATAAATAGCAAGCTTCAACCTAACTTAGTATGTAAACAAACTGTAACCTAACTAAGAGTATATTCTTGTAACAAGTAGTTAGGTCTCTGCCAATCATAACAGCTGAGCTTTCAGCCAATCCCAGGCTGCAGATTGCCCAGACAAGTCCAAATAAGGCAACCACCCGGCTGTAACCAATCAGGCTATTTCTGTGTCACCTCCTTTTTCTGTCTCTAAGTACTGCCTGTCCACCTTTGCTGGGTGGAGCTCTCTGAACCTTTACCGGTTCAGGATGCTGCCTGATTCATGAATAGTTTCTTTGCTCAGATAAACTCTGCTAAATTTAACTAGTCTGAAGTTTTTCTTTTCATAAAATCCAAGAGAGTATTTAAAAATTACAACCTAACATTGTACAAAATACACTATGGGGTCAGCATGGAGAATCTGTTATGTTAACCTGCATTCTTTATTTTTTTTAAACCAGACTCCTATATTTATCTAGAGCACTGTACAGTCAGCTCTCCATATCTGTATCCATGGAGTCAGCCAACCACAGATGAAAAATATTCCAAAAATTAAAAAATAACAACCTAACAATTAAAAATACAAATAAAAATATAGTGTAAACAACTATTTACAGAGCATTAACATTGTATTAGGTATTACAGGCAATCTGGAGATTATTTAAAGTATACAGAGGCCGGGCATGATGGCTCATGCCTGTAATCCCAGCAGTTTAGGAGGCCAAGGCAGGTGGATCACAAGATCAGATCATCCTGGCCAAAATGGTGAAACCCTGTCTCTACTAAAAATATAAAAATTAGCTGGGTGTGGTGGCACACGCCTGTAGTCCCAGCTACTCGGGAGGCTGAGGCAGGAGAATCACTTGAACCTGGAAGTGGAGGCTGCAGTGAGCTGAGATCAGGCCACTGCACTCCAGCCTGGGAGACAGAGCAAGACTCTGTCTCAAAAAAAAAAAAAAAAAAAAGTATACAGGAAGATGTATGCAGGTTGTACGTAAATATTACACCATTTTATTTATTTATTTATTTCAAGAAAGGCCAACAATGCCTAAACTCTTTATTTCACCAACCAGTATTTCTGATTTTCTTCCTGATGTTGGATTTTAAAACCTTAAAAGTCTACAAGTATTGCATTCAGACTTTTCACATCAAGAGAAAGGAGCCCAGGGCAGAAGATGTCAGGCCCCAGGCTATTTTGGGGTGGGAAAAGTGGCAAAGATTTCTCAATAGTCTGTGTCAGTCTTCTAACTTAATTGAAATGCCTTTAAGCTATCCTTCATCCCCAAATTTTCCCCCATGGCATCTATGACAGAAAAACACTCCTTTCTAATATCTGTATATGCCCCACCACTGGAAAGCCGGGGCGATGGGAGTGGCAAGCCAAACTTTTTATTCAGCCAGAAAATGGATTTCCAATTCAGTTTAATTGCAAGGAGTTGTGTAAAACCATACCAAGTCCTGCTTCTTCCTCAAAGTGAACTTGGCTGGATTTTTGTGACTGGAAGAATTTCTCATAATAGTGAGTTAAGCACTATAAAAACGTAAAATCAATCCCATCTCTATGAGAAGCATAAGAGCTGCTTCCGAGAACTGAGGGATACCCACATCCATAACCCACCCAGACATGGCCAATTTCTCATAGACAGCTACATGGGAAGCATAAAGTCCTTTTGTCAACTGTTTTTGGTGGTGAGGGATAAGCAGTGCTTAGGGAAGGTGTAGGATGGATTTTTTCTTCCTGCCACCACCAAAAACTACAGCTCTACACACATGCTCAGACGCACGTACATGTCCATTTTTAAGAAAGCTTTTCCTCCCTGTAACTACAGGATCCCAGAATCCAGCCTCCCTCAGGCTGAGAGATGATGCCTATTAATGGCAGAAACCTAGTAACAGCATACTATAGAAGGCTCCTGTGTTGACTCACAAGTTGAGGGGGCAGGGCAAAGAAGTGGACACTCATGGGAGACTTGCTTTTTGTCTTAAATCCAATCTATTCAGCAACACTCGCAGGTCCAAGGGCTGGGAGAGGTTCTGTGGGCACAATGTGGTGGACGACCTGATGGTCCCAGCCCACTGCGGTAAACAGCGAGTGATTGAGCGGGGACCAAGTAGCAACTCTTCAAAGTCTCTGTGGGCTCCGCTTCTAGACACCTCAGCAAGGCTGGAGTCCAGCACCGCAAGTGAGAAGTCTTCACTGAGAGAGGCCAGGAAAGGAACACTGTGTGGGGAGAACAGCAGCCCAGTGACACACCGGGAGTGGACAGCTGAGGTCGGGACACAGCTTGTGCTCTTGGTGTCGACAAGGGAGACCATCCCATTTTCATCACCAAAGACAAAGACTTCACTTTGCTGAGGATGCCAAGCCAGGGAGGTAGGAAGGCAGCCAGAGGCACTGCAGCCAATCCGTGACGCTGGCTTGGGACAGCGGGTATCCCAAATAAAATTTTATTGTCCTCACTGCATGAAAGAAACACAGAATCGTCGTGGGGAGAAGCAGCAACATGGGTGACCTGCTCAGCATGAGCTCGGTATGAATTCAGTACCATCTGCTGAGCAAGGTCCCAAACCTTGATGCAGAAGTCTTTACTACCACTGACGGCTTGTGTGGCAGAGCTCAGGACGCTGACTGTAGACACAATGTCATCATGCTCATACTTGTCTCATAACTGTCTCATTCTCATCCAGTTTCCACAATTCAACCACACCTGAATCGGGGGCCGCTACAATACCTCTCTCCCCAGCCCAAGTGAGGTCAGCCACTCCAGTCTCCGTTTGGACTCCGGCGGAGTGGAAGCCTTTGTTGGGGGCAGCACAGGGTCCTTAAAAACCCAGAGGGAGCCAGCCCAGCAGCGGCCACTCAAGCTGGAGGCCCCGAGGAGAAGCACCCCATCGGACCCTTACCGCGCAGCCTCCAACTGCAGTTCCACGCAAGCTGGCGCACTAGGGGGAAGGTTCCACTCCCAGGCCGCCGGGAGCACTAGGGGAGGCGGGGTTTCCTTTCGCATCTCCACGGTTCCAACTCCAACCTAGACTCAAAATCAAACTGGACACCGACCGGAGACAGCTCCGGCGGCAAACCCCATGTGGTGTGCTCAATACTACACCATTTTATAGAAAGAACCTGAGGCCAGGCACAATGGCTCACACCTCTTATCCCAGCACTTTGGGAGGCCCAGGCAAGAGGATAGCTTGAGGCCAGGAGTTGAAGCCGGCCTGGCCAACACAGCAAGACCTGATCTCTATATTGAAAAAGAAAAAAGAAAAGAAAGGACTTGAGTGTCCATGAATTTTGGTACCTGCAAGGGAGTCCTAGAACCAATCCCCTGTAGATACCAAGAGATGACTGAAGAGAGAAAAGCTGTAGAGAAAAGCCGTTTAGCAAAGCCAGATGCAACATCTCTGCTAAGGCTCCGGAACGACGAGATTGCAATCTGGTCAAAGGTTTGGATGAGAGAGACAGCCCTGTGTTGACAGCAGGGCAATTAGCCAGTTCAGACAGCCCCAAGACTCACCCTAGTCAATCTCCAGGCAGAGAGAGGCCCTGCCCACTACAGGAACAAGGTTGCTGAAACAGCAACTGGGAAGCCGGTCTACACCAAGAGCCTTGGGAATCCGGAAGGCCCAGGAAAAATAAGTATCTACAGAGGGTTCAGGGACAATCTGGACCTCACACCCAAGTGAGGAGCCTGGAAATCCCCAGGGGTGAGAAAACACTGCTTTCATCCACCCCTTCCAGAACAGGTTCTACTGTCGCCTGTGCACACTCATATCTGAAGGATACTGCTGTCTGACTGTCCCCAAAACTGGAATTGTTCTCATTGTGGCCTGGCTGTTTCCCTGGATCTGTGGAAATCATCATCACTGTCTTATTCAGACAAGGTACAATCAAAGTTAATCAAGAAAAATTATACAGCACTGCTTAACCAAAGCGCCACAGAGAAGGTATACACAGGGAAGAGAGGGAGAGAAACAACACACAGGTGTGTACCAATAGCATGCAAATTCATGTATTTTTAAATGTTTTAGAGAAAGGGTCTTGCTGTGTTGCCCAAGCTGGCCTCAAGCAATCCTACTGCCTCAGCCTCCTCAGTACCTGGGACTACAGGTGCATGCCAGCTCCAATCCCAATTTTAAACACTGATTATTTCCTTTCGAAGCAGATTCATTGAAGGTTTATTTAAATAAACATTTTCATGGAGTATTTAAATACATTTATTTGGCCAGATGTGGTGGCTCATGCCTGCAATCCCAGCACTTTGGGAGGCCAAGGTGGGCGGATCACAAGGTCAGGAGTTCAAGACCAGCCTGGCCAGCACTGTGAAACCCTGTCTCTACTAAAAAAATACAAAAAAAATTAGCCCAGGCATGGTGACACATGCCTATAATCCCAGCTACTCAGGAGGCTGAGGCAGGAGAATCGCTTGAACCTGGGAGGCAGAGGTTGCAGTAAGCCAAGATCATGCCACTGCACTCCAGCCTGGGTGATAGAGTGAAAAAAAAAAAACACACATTTATTTATGAAGTGCGTGTTGACTCATACCTTTTCAGGAACATGTACAAACATGTTTGACTATGGTCCTCTCACCTTACTTGGAATATCCCCCTCTTTGACCTGTGATGGCTCTTTCCTGGATGTATCCCTTCATCCCTTCCTCTATTTCTCTGTCCCATTTCTCCTCCTCCATCAATAGAGGCATTCACTAAGAATGCTTCTTTGTGGTCTTCCAATCTCTTCACTTTCTCCTTGAATAACCATCACTCACTTCTTTTACTTATCATCTCTGCTGCTGATAATAACAGCTGGCAGCTATAGGTGCTCTCTGTGTGTCAAGCACTGTACTAAACTCTCAAGTTTAATCCTCACAACAGTTCTATGGAGTAGACACTGTTATTATCCCCATTTTTTTTTTTTTTTTTTGAGACAGAGTCTTGCTCTGTCGCCCAGGCTGGAGTGCAGTAGTACGATCTCGGGTCACTGCAACCTCCACCTCCCGGGTTCAAGCGATTCTCCTGCCTCAGCCTCCTAAGTAGCTGGGATTACAGGCGCCCACCACCGCATCCGGCTAATTTTTGTATTTTTAGTAAAGACGGAGTTTCTCCATGTTGGTTAGGCTGGTCTCGAACTCCTGACCTCAAGATCTGCCCAACTCATCCTCCCAAAGTGCTGGGATTACAGGCATGAGCCACCACACCGAGACATTATCCCTATTTTTATACATGGAAAAACAGGCCTGGGGGTGAAAGCAGGCTGCCCAGGGTCACCTAGCTAGTAAGGGGCAGAACTGGATTCAAACCCAGACAGCCCACCTCAGAGGCTTCGTGCTGTTCCATGAGCTCTCAAAACTGGACATCCTTCCCAAGCGGCGGGGCCATCTCCATCAGCCCCTCAAACCCAGCATGTCACCCACCAGACATTAGAGAGTACTCACTGACATGTTTGTACTGGCTGTGAAGATATTAAAATACTTCAAACTCTGCGGCCTGGAACCCTCTCTTCACCCTGGCACCCTCTCTGCTAAGACCACCCCATATCCAGCATCCCTGGCATGGTGCTGAGGGGCAGAGGCTGGTGGGGGCTTAGCACCCTCCTGGCCTTGGCCTTGCCAGTGCTACAACTATGGCTAAATACTAAGGAATGTGTTGTTTGGTTGGTTTTTTTGGTTGTTTCTGAGACAAGGTTTCACTTTGTCGTCTAGGCTAGAGTGCAGTGATGTGATCATAGCTCACTGCAGCCTAAAACTCCTGGCCTCAAGCAATCCTCTTGCCTCAGCCTCCCAAGCAGCTGTATCTACAGGCACATGCCACCATGCCCAGCTAATTTTTAAGATTTTTTTTTTTTGTAGAGACAGTGGTCTCGCTAGGCTGCCCAACATGGTCTCGAACTCTTGGCCTCAAGCGATCCTCCTACCTCAGCCTCCCAAAGTGCTGGAATTACAGGCCACTGTGCCTGATGTAAATACGGTTAATATCACCTCTTCCTCCTCCTTCTCTCTCCACAAACCAGTTCCTCTGCTGACTTCCTTATTTCTGGGGAAGAAATAAGGAACATCTCATTCTCCAGTTTGTATTATACAGAGCCTTTTTCCTGCAGTGCCTGGCCTGGGACCCCACAGTCCTCCATTCTACCTGAAAAACTCCCAGGCCTCCTGTGAGAGCTGGCTGTGGCACCCTTGGTTCCTCTGTGAGGCTCCTGACACCCTGTACCCTAGGGTGTGCAGTGCCCCAGGAGAACCTCACAAACTCCAGTGAACGGACTCTCAGGCAGAGTCTAAACTGTGTTCCTAAGGTCCCCAGCCAGGTTTCTCCATCCTGCAGCGCATGTGGAGTGGAGGAACCATCTGGGCAGCTGTGAAGCTACCTGGGGGGCAAGCAGGAGCCCCGTAAGGAGTCCGGTCCCCTTGGCAGCTGCGGTCAACCTTGAGGCCTCTTGCTCCTGTCTTAAAGGGATGAGGACAGCTCCTCTGAATGAGGGGGCATGGACCTTGAGGGGCCCCTGGGGAGTAAGAGGAGGGGGACAGGCAGACCCGCTCCCTCCAGGCTGGGCTGGCCCTACCGGGCTGTGGTACCCCTCCAGCTCATAGGGTCTCCAACACCATCGCCCCCGCTGTGGGTTCTGGACAGATGGGCTGAGGCAATGGCCTGGGGAGAGGGCTCAGGAAACAGGGCTGTCAGACAGGGCAAGCTCCAGCAAAGGGAAGGCCTCGACGCCGCACGCTGCCAGCAAAAAACGATCCCGTGGGGGGTGGGGGGGCGGCGTTGGGGGGGTAGCTGCTGCTGCCAACCCGGTGAAACTCACAAGCCCCCACCTCAGGTCCCCCCAAAACCTCTCAGGGCTCAGCTCTAGGGGCCGGCAGAGACTCTTCCTGGACGGGTCTCGCCTCCCTTGGGGTCTCCGTTTTGCCTGTGAGATGAGGGGTTGATGTTCTCACTCTAAGGTGCCTCAGTTCTCTGCGTCCTCAGGGTCACGCGCTGCTGAGGGCGCGGGCGGCAGAGGGTGGGCCCCGGAGTCCTAGCCGCTGGGACTCTCGGGGGTAGCGGGTCGGGACAAAGAAGGAACAGCAGCCCGGCGTCCGCTCCGGTCTGCCCCTCGAGCAGGGGGACTGGAGCCCCGATCCCGTCACGGGGAGCCCCCCGGCGCCGGGTCACTGAGTGGCGCCGGAGCTGGGGCGCCCGCCCGCCGCGCTGGCCTCCCGCGAGCCGCTGTCGGCCCCGCGACTTACCCAAAAGTTTCCCTTGAACAGTGAGCGCGTCATCGCGGCACGAGTCGGGGCGCGGAGGAGAGCCGGGCTGCAGACGGCGCCGCGCGGGGAGGCCTGACTGCCACTGCCCGCGGCCCCGCAGCTCAACTTCTGCGTTCCACACTCGCGCAGGGAAGCCGCCCCCGGGTCCTAAACCACTCCCGATTGGGACGGCCGCCGTCGGCGCTCTGCGCTCCACTTGCCAGACCTGGGCGGGACCCGCCGCGCTCACCCGGCCAGGGGCTGTAGCCCGCGCCGGGACCCAAGCCCACTTAAAGCCCCACAGTGTCAGGCCAAGATCAACATATCAGCCTGAAGTTAGCTGCCTCCTCCTGGAAGCCTTAGCGGGTCCTGTCTTGGGTTCCTGCCCACAAGGCCCCCTGGACCCAAGAAAATCCAGGCTTTGCGGGGTGACGGAAGGGATCTGATCAGCTGGTGGTCGCGAGGACGCGGTGTAAGCTCCAGAGAGCCGGGGGGCCCACGACGCCCGCAGTCGCTAAAGGTGTAGACGCCTTGGAGTCACGGCGGCCCCACCGGCACCTGTTGCAAATCAGGCCCTGGGGCGCGTTTCACTTTTTGTTGTTGCAGGTGTTTTCTATGACGGGGTCACGTTTAAGTCTAAAATGTCATGGAGAGGTCATTGCTGCTGTTTCTTCTTGACTCTAGTCACTTGATGGGGTCCTTACGGGCCTCCAGGAGCTCAGCTGCTCTATGACCCCTTCCCATTCTCGGAGACAAGACCCTTTCCTGCCCATTCCACCCCAGCAGGAGGGGCCCGAGCTTCCTTCTTCTCCCTTCACTCTTGCACCCTCACAAATATAATCCAAGGGCGAGTCAGACCCGTCTCTGCATTGTATTAAATTGGTACAAAAGTAACTGCGGCTTTTGCCAACCCTCTTTTCTTTTCTTTCTT